TTAGGATCAGGATTAGGATCAGGGTTAGAATCAGGGTTAGAATCAGGCTTAGGATCAGGATTAGGATCAGGATTAGGATCAGGGTTAGAATCAGGATTAGAATCAGGATTGAGGGTTAGGGTTAGGGTTAGGGTTAGGGTTTAGTTTAAAGGTCTCACCTCTGACCAGTATGGTGGTGGATTTCTTGGCAGGGTTTCCCACGTTGTTGGACGCCACACAGCTGTAGGCGCCACCGTCCTCAATAGTTATGGCGGGGATGGTCAGGGTGCCCCCACTGACTACGCCCCTCTTTGGGAGCTCCTCCCCTCCGGGCTTCACCCAGGTGAAGGTGGGGGGAGGGTCTCCACCTGACGCCATGCACACCAGAGTGATCGTTTCCCCCGGGTTCACCACCAGGGGGTCGTCCAGGAGGAGTTTAATGGAGGGAGGAGCTGGGGGGGTTGTGAAAGAGAAGAGCAAAAGAGAGAAGAAGAAAATGTTAAAACAGCTCAACTTCATCTCGTCTTTTTCGTTCTTCTTCTTCTGCTTGTGGTTCAGAGTCCGTTCTAAAAGTGTCGGAGCTGCAGCAGAAGAATGTGTTTATATTTATAATACTGAGATTCATTTTATTCTATTGACTCTATGATCTCAATGAGGAACAATGAGGATGTTCAGTTTACTGACTTTCAAAAAATGATTTGTTTCTGTCAACAGTCAAATCAATCTCCTGACTAATCTTTGCAGCTTTGTCACAAAACATAATCAGTTTCCTCCGAATCCACTTTATATTTGAATGAATAAATGTTGTCCAGGTTTTCTGTGGGTAGAGATGAAGACCTTCATGGGTTCTCAGAGGTTGTCAGTCCGATCTTGGTCAGTTAGTGTGGATCATGGGAGATTAATAAATATATTTTCGACGTCTCATCATTTGTAAAAAAAACCTAGTGCTCATCCTTCCTGCTGCAGAAACCCAGTGGAAAGCGACGGGCTGCCTCCACCAGCTGCTCACGAGGAGCCGCAGAAAAGCAGCTAAATGCAGAAATAATAATGAGGGTGATAAAAATAGCTGAGTCGACCTCTGTTAAGCTGACATCATGTAAATCCCATCAGCCCCTGGGGCGAGGAGGCAGATCTACTGTACAGGTCAGAGAGCTGCAGTCTGAGCTCGGAGAGCAAAATGATTTATTTATGATTCACGTTCATCCAACTGTACACGCACAGGTACACGAACTATGTTACATCAGATATGGAGGAATATTTCTACCAGGAAAAAAAGGATCAAATAAAAGGAAATGATAAAAATAAAAAGGATCATCAACATTTTAACTTCTTCGTTATAAATATTAAAAACGTTCCATGATTTTGACTGAATTTACATATTATTATTACAAAGACACATTCAAACTATAAATGAAGACAGTGAATAAAGTATAATAATAATATTAATAATCATCGTGTGTGTGTGTGTGTGAGTGTGTGTGTGTGTGTGTATGTGTGTGTGTGTGTGTGTG